ACGCCAGGAATATACAATTCGTATGGTTTATTCCCAAAACCATTAAATAATTTCCGAATTATTACAGCGAGAGTGTGGAGGAGGCTATAAACTCTCGTTGTTCCCCGAACTCTGCATACACCACGTATGCAACATCATGTATGCAACCCAATGTGCATGCATCGGGTTGCATACATGTTACGGTATAAAATTCTACTCTGACGAAACAATAACTTTGATATCTATTGAAAGAACAAGGTTTAAGTTTTAATTTGGCGCAAAAATTATGTCTCAGGATCTATAAAGACGACTTGGGCGATTTTTTGAATTTTTATATTATATTAATTAACACATATCTATTTAACAAAACTTAATAATTAATTCTTGAGTGTATGTATTCTTTAAGTACGTTAATTGAACTTTGCTGCAAAGTTAGCCACCCAGCCAACAGCCCCATTATGAAAACTCGTCACGTATCTAACAAGTACCTTTTTAGACGACCTCAATTTCGGGAGAACATCCTTATTAAAACAAACAAAAATTAAATTAATTAAACATTAAAAAATAATTCAAATTTATTTACGTTTCCACAATATCGATGTTCATTTGATATTTTGTTTGAATAAGTCGTTATTGTTACGTAATCGGTGTCGCATCTATTTGGTATTGAGAATTCTAAAAAAAATTTTAAATTAATATAATTATTGAAATTATAATACTAAAATTAAGCATACGTATAAAACGGATTTCCACATCCAATCCATACGGAACATTTATTTCCCAAACACAATCCGATATATTCGGAAAATTTTGCGGGTACAAAGGGCTGGTAATAATCCCATGATAACTATAAATTTCCCCCCCACAACCTCGTCCTTTATCGGTACTCGTATAAGTGAAGTCCAACATATTAGCCGTCGCATTCGGCCGTTTCGTAATTTGTATTAAAACAACGTTTTGAGTTGAAAATACCGGATTCGGATATCCCGAGAAATGAGTGGCTAATTTCGTGGATGTTGTAGTTGGCCCATCGTACATTTCTATCTTATCATCTTCGCAAGTCTTGCTAGCTTCGAGATAATAATTATAAAAGTAAACAGAAACGGTGGTTCCGATAGGGGCTGTTATTAATATTGTACAACCGGTTCCTTCGACTTTCGTCTTCACTTTTCCTTGTTGACCAGTTAAATTACGATAACAATTAGCGATTTGATATTCTAGTTTAAATCCTTTTCCGTGGGTTCCTGAAACACTTTCGAAATCGATTTTTGCCTCGCGACTGAACGCGTAATAATCGTATTCGTGACCGCTTTTTCCGCAATATTGGTGAGCTCCCAATGGGGCATAAAAGATCTAAAAAATATTTTTTTTTTAATTCTTAAATTTATTCATTTAAGTTTTATCTTACGCGACTTATAAATTGGTTGTTTAATCTTGTTGCAAATATCGTACTTGATCCTAACTCACTTTCATCAGTATCTGAATTCTAAATAACAATAAAACATTAAATGAATTAGTATTGGATTAAGAAGTAGCAAGAAACAAAATGTTTTTAAATGTATTTTATGCAGGTTATAAGCTATACTACACTATTGGAAATAATTCACGAGCACACCCTATATAATCTAAATGCGTGAAGATAAATCCATAATATTTTCGGAGCACTAAGGTTTACTGTAGATGAGTTTATTCAAGAAGTTTCGAGTAGTTCCGTCGCGGTATTGTTGACTGAGCCGCTCTTCCAAGTGGAACATTCCGTCGCTATGGAGACCGAAGTGGATGGAAAATACCGGTCGTTTTTAGTGTGGTGTGAGGGACCACATTGTTATCGTACTCTGTGCGCAATGGATGGGTGATCGCGTTACTTACGCGAGTTTGAGCGAGGAATGTTTGTGGGTATACATATTGAGGGTGTATCGTTCTGTGAAATTGCTCGTCGTCTCGAGCGGTCGTTATCGGCAGTGCAACGGGCATAAAGAGACGAGAATGGTCTGAGGTAGGACATAGGTACCTTAAGCCGCGGCCGGGATGGCCCTACGTGTCCCCAGCACACGAGGATCGCGCTCTTGTGCTCAGCATTATAGCGTCGTGTGTGTCCTCATCAAGGCAACTTGGAGCAGTATGCGAACTGTACGGCGCATAGTGGTCAATTTCTCAAATTTAGGAACGAAATACAAAAATCGGTCATTTTTTGTTGGTATAATCATGCGGTATTTCGCTTACTGTATGACTGGCATATAATTAGAGACCGGATTTTAAGCATTATGCTTATTGCTCAATTTTATAAGCAAATATGAGATATTAAGTTTCTAGACGAATTACGCAAAATTAAGTATGTTGCGACATATTCTTTAATGCTTTTTTT